ATCTTCTTCAAAATTGGGCAGTACAGTCACAACGTGGTGCTGAATGAACGCATTTCATTTTTTGACTGTACGTTGAAGGGCGTGTCCGTGGCCTGCCGTCAAAGTTGGCCATTTTGAAGCCCGTGGTCCTGTATTTGAACAAACAAACTCCTTGAGACATTATCAGATCTGCTTCAAAACTTGAAAGTACTCTTGAATAATCTTGCTGATTACAAGTTGTGCTATTTATGACTGTACGTTGAAGGGCCTGTCCCTGGTGTCTTGTCAAAGTTGCACATTTTGAATTCTGTGGTCTTTTTTTTCAGTGATGAAACACAAACACCCCTCCGCTCCCACTAGCCACATCTACAAACCATATTTCCTAGGGAGTATTGTTCGTGGAGCATAGTGGGAAACTGCTGGAAGCCACTTATTAAATTGCAAGATAAATAGGGGACTTATCAAATCGACTTCATAATTGGACAGTCTTATAAAAACAAAGTGTACATGAAGAATTGAGCTATTTGTGACTGTACGTCAAACTGCGTGCCACTGACCCCTTGTCGTATTCAGATGATTTTCCATTAAGCGGTACTCGTAACTTCAGTGTGCAATGTCCAATTTCCAATAAACTTCATATATTCTGTAACAGTCTCCCCCTGAACGCGTCCTCATAACATCAGCCTACGTATTACAGTCCCGCCATGAACTTGTCTACGTGACAAGATTCAGATAAAGTGAAAGCACAGCATACTGGCAACAGGAAGGAAGCGCTGCGTGGCGATACGGAGCTGATTTGGAGCAGATTTACGTGACGGATTCCCGTTGCGGTCCGCGCTTGTTACGACGGCACGTGGCGTGGCCTCGGCGCACCCCGACCGCACGTGACGCCTTTGCGGCGCGCCCCGACGAGCGCCGGGTGCGAGGTCCCGCCCAACGCTGCTTGCAGCTTTAATTGTATTTGGTGTTAGATTTGTTTGGTTGGCGTAAGAGCACTAGACAGAACCTGAAAGAGGGTATCTGGCAGTTCTGTCTGTATCTCACAGCAGACTGTTCCTTTACTCGACTCGCAGCTTTTTTCCTGCACACTTTAGTCCCGCCTCCCCATATTTTTGGCTGCAGTGGAGCAAAGCTTTGGGGCAGTTCATTACACATGAAAGTCTGTGACTGAGCTACTGAGTGATGAAGTTATACCATTAGTAGTTGAGAGTCCCCATTGACCGTCATATTCCTCCGTGCCCGTCAACAAGCCATTCTGCTCTTTTCTAATCACATGTAGAGTTGATCTTTATAATTATCTCACAAATGATGTGATCCTGGATAAGCAGTGTGTCGCTTCTTCCTTAACAGTGAATTTAAAATGACCATCACACCATCACTATGTGATCTGTAGGGAGAGACTTCTCTCCTGTGCGTCTGCCGTCTCTCTCTCGCTGTCTGTTTGGACACAACTGACAAATATGTGGAATAAGTATGACATGCATATTTAAATATTTATCAGAATCAGATCATGTAATATAGTATTGTAGCGACCCAGAATAATGAGGCTACGAAGCACGAACTGGTTTAGCTGGTCTTTATTCTTCAGCTCGAACACAGGCTACTGTGGGCCGTAGCCAACGGCAACACAATAAAATATAGCGCTATCAACATTAGCTTTTGTAGCGTCTCTCCCCATACACACACACCAGAACCACAACAACAACACACTCCCACAATCTCAGGTGGCTATCTCACACCCATCATTGCCATGGCAACTGCCATGACTGACAGGCTTCACAGCCTCTGACAACTCCACCCCTCAGACGTCCCGCAAACCCATACACTGCAGAACAACTTAACTGAGCACAATCCAAACAGCCACAGTGTATACACAGCCCATTACACCATAGATATACATAATAAAGGCTAGATGTCTTACGGCGGAGTCTCTAACGTTATCAACGGTGGCCATCTTGCCACAGGCAAGCTTTCTGGCGGGCTCTGTGGTACCTGATGTAAGGTGAGTGATCTACTGATCTCGCTGAAATCTTGACGGATTTACAAACGGTTTGGTTTCTTACAAATGTTATTAACGTGGCTATAATTCTGGATGCTTGAACATGTTGAAATTTCAGCTTTTCTTTTCGAAAAACGACTTAATCGTGCAGCATAGTTGTGTATCACGGCTACTTGCGCAAGTTATCAAGGCTGAGACCACAATCGAGCTGTTCAATTATACAGGTTTTACTGACACCAATAACAATTTTATGACAACTAATCTTTTGTCTAAATTACAATCTTTGTGGATGTGGTTGTAGTTATTAGCTGGCTAATAACAAGAAGCTGTGAGTGAGACCTAGTAGCAGCGAATTGCTCTTTCTTTTCAATATAACTTAAGTTGCACATGATTTCCAATCGGTTTGGTTTGTTAAAAATATCTTACATTATGATACAGGAAATTGCTGGCTTTATAAGAGAAGATGCCAGACTTTTGTGCAGCCTACGGATGGTCCAATCGCTGTAGTCTCAAAACGAGAGCCCGTGGGATCACCTTTCACCTGTAAGATATGACAATATTATGATTATATTTGGGATAATTGTTAGTTACTTAGTGGATGTATGTACAATACAGGTCCTGTTACACACTGACCCAAGGCTTTTTAGAAGTTTGTTTACACAATCGCCGAATGTTTCTTTTGGACACCTTTTTATAACTAGTTTAGTGTGTCTTATTCTAAAGTACATACATGCATACATGATGCATACATGCACACATGCATACATACAATTACCCCAAACATATGATAATTTAGGTGTGTATTTTTGTCCTTACCCTTAATGTTGAAAGAAGAAAAAAGGGTTGGAAATGTTGACAATAATTTATATATCTGGGTACATTTCACACGTTTTTAAGGTTTCCCAAAACCGGAAAGATGAGGAGGCAGTGGGAACTTGCCCTAAGAAGGGACGGTTTTGTTGCCTCTGACAGGACACTGCTCCGCAGCAAGCATTTCAGGAGTGAGGACTTTGACAGAACTGGGCGGAATGTCCGGCTTAAAGATGGTGTTGTGCCAACCATTTTCAACTTTCCAGCTCATCTTCAAAGGGTATGTGTATCATTGACCAACAATAATTCAAGGTGTATAAGATTGATATATCAATATGTGATTAAATGTCACTTTAGTTTTTGTTTCTGCAAGTTATATAATGTGTTGTTTATTACTGCACATTTTAGACACTCAAAACTTCTTTTTACTTATGTTTATTTTAGCTGGTAGCAACAAGAAGCACAACCACCTCTAGAAGAGCGGAAGACAACCTGCCAATGGACTTGTCTCGGGATGCACCTCAACCTGATGTTGTGAGTATTTGCACATCACTACCTGAGAGATACCCTGCATATTCACCTGCCACATCCCAGTTCATTGCAAAGGTATTCTTCATGATGTCCAATTTTATACTGAAGCATTTAGCACTACAGACAATATTATCATAAATGGTTAAACTTGCTGATCTAACAGCTCATGTCTCATGCTGATACATGTTGATATTATAGCTATTTTTTGTATGTCCAGTGTCCACAATAGGGATGCTTGGGTTAGTGGTTAAATGGCTACGTGGTTAAATGTCTACTTTTTAATTTTACTAAGGTAGCTGAGCTGTCTTGATGCCAGACCTGGTCTCAATAAAATGATATTGGACATGCTGGAAAGACGGCATCAGGAAGATGAGGTCAAGTACGGATGTGTCACTCTGATGCTGGATGCCATGTCCATCAAAAATCACGTCCAGTATGATCCTCAGACACAAACAATGTTTGGATATGTGGACATCGATTGAATGAGACTGACATGGCTTCTGATGTTCTTGTGTTTATGGTGGTTGGGCTTCAAGGTTATTGGAAAGCTCCAATTGCGTATTATTTGACCCTCACACCACAATCAAAGACAGTCTTAATAGAGCATGCATTAGAAGAGCTGCATCGTCGTCAGATAAGAGTGGTGTGCATGACAATGGATGGTCATGCATCCAATGTCAGTATGTGCACTCAACTTGGGGCAGATCTAAAAGCAGACCCCTGTGAGCCCTTGAAGACCCATTTCCCACATCCAGTAACCCATGACAATGTTTTTGTTATGATGGACGCTTGCCACATGCTGAAGCTGACACGCAATATGTTGCAGGTTCATGCTCATTGGTTGACTCTGTTCTGCTTTTTATACATTTTGATTGTATTTACATAATTGTGCAGAATATGGTGCTTTACATTTGACGTGTGACGTGAAAAAAAAAATATGATTCTGCAGGCATACAGCCCAATTAGAAGCATAAATGGCAGTATCATTTGGAAGTACATAGTTCATCTGAACAATGTCCAAAAGAAAAGTGGACTACATGCTGCCAACAGAGTCACAGATAAGCATGTGAACTTTGCTTATCAGAAAATGAAGGTATGTTTGTATGATGATTTATGTATTGAGGGCCGCAATAGTAATGGGCTCTAGGTCTTTATTGTGTTTTTATACTTTTTGATGATGTTTGTATCTTGTAGCACTAATGTGCTCTTCATTTCTCCTTATAAACTCAATCAAGGTCTCCCTGGCTGCTCAGACTTTGAGTAGCTCTGTGGCAGTGGCGCTCCACACGTTGCAGGAGGTGGGGATGATAGGACATGAGCGGATCCAGGGTAAATGTCTAACACTACTCTACTACTACTACTACTACTACTACTACTACTCTACTGTCTAACTCTGATTGTTTTCATGGGAGCTTGTTTATCAATTACGTTAGTAACTTTAGAATCAAATAAGTTCCATGCATCTTCAACAGAAGGTATTATCTGAAATCTATTGCGGTTAATAGCAGTTAAGTCATGGACTAAACAACCTACATTCATACTTGTGTATGGTCTCAGTCTGATATATTTAGGAGGAGAAGTCTCTGATTCCCTGTTGTTTGGCGGTCCGTGTATGTTTTGGTCATTGGATTTTCCTTTCAGAAACGGGAATTAAAAAACAGAAAACGAGTGCTTATTTGATTTTCGTTTTAAAATACAAAAATGAAAATTGAAATACAAGGCGTTTTTCTTTTTCGTGGTCAGAAAAGGATGAGCGAAATTTAAAAAACGATTCGATTTTCATTTTCTATTTTATATAACAAAAAATAAAATCACTAGAAAACAGAAACGGAAAAAAGGCCTGTTTTTTCATATTCTGAGACCGGATGTCGTCATTAACAGGACGGTGGTGCTGTGGAGAAGAAACAGTAGGGTAACGTTAGTAGACTGCGGCGGGGTAATCAACCGTGACACATGGACATGGAGCAGTACGTCGTTTTCCGAAACAATAAAAGAGTGTGTCTCAGGGAAGAAGACATGACTGCAGAAAAACTTAGTCGCATATTTCAGGTAAAAAAATTTAAAAAAGTTCTGCTCCAGGACGTCAGTCGGTGATGTTAGCCTGTTAGCCTGTTAGCCTAACGTTAACCCTTTAGCGGAGCTGTTTCCATAGAAGTTAGGGTGGCCATTCGTCCCGCTTTTAAGCCTGACACTCGTTTGTCCTCGTTTTGAGGTCCGCCTTTTGACACATTACCTCGTTAGTTTAATACTTATTGGCTTAAAATGTGTGTCACAATAAGTAATTTCATTGGTAACATTTTCGTGTCGTGACCTATCAACACATGGCTAATTTTAATATTCAAATGAGCCATGTGTTGATTCTCCACAACACACGACCACAGCAGTTGCTGCCACCAGGCTGTCAATCAAACTCTCAGTGACAGAGAACATAACGTGAGCTATCGTCGGTTGTTGGACTGAAATTCTGAAAATGCTCATACAGAAACAGAAGGTGCTGTATTTGTTTTACCCTTTATCTATCCAGATAAAACCATTAAGAACAGTTTCTGTATGATGTTTATTAGACCTATGTAATCTGAATTGGAAGGGCACGTTGTCATGAGCTGTATCTTGTATATTTATTATTAGCTATGTGGTATGTGTATGCACCTTTATGTAATCTGGTGGGAAAACATTAAAATTTAAAACCGGTTCATACCAAACAAATATCTGCTTGTGTGTCCCCGTGTATGCAAAGTGTCCTCCTTTTTGATGTGAAGGAAATGGCCACACTAATAGAAGTCCGCCTCGTCGTGGGCGATTATCACTTAAATACTGTATATATGTAACTAACGCCATTTAGACATTTAGCATTTGGAGAATTTTCTCTCTCAGTATTCACTGAAGAATATTCATTGAGAAAGGTTTGTAACGTTAAGCGAACACTTTCTTGACAGGTCTCAACTCGTAGTCTGTACTTGACTAACGATGCAAATGTGGCCTTGTTTCCGGGACCATCTGGAGTGTTCAGCTCATTCGACCTTACTGCAAGAGCCCATTATGAGGTTAACGGTGAGGAGGAGGAAACCTCATCATCAGTTTCAAATAACACGGGCCAACGTTTTGCATTCATGCGAACTCCTGCAACTGCTTCAGCCCCCCCCAGAGCCACTGTCCCCAGAGCCACTGTCTCTAAAACATTTCAAAGGTAACATTAGCCTAAATTGCTTGTTAAATGACGGTGATACGATTTATATTTTCAAATTTACTAGTTATGGGATGGGATGAGAAGTAAAAAATAATTAGATGTCAATGCAAAACACCTAGTTAACATTTGATATGATCATATCAACTCCAGTTGCCATTCTTTGTCTCCTTCATAGTTGTAGTGTAATAATAGTTAATACTACTTGTACATCATTTACATTATGCACATTTTAACATTTTTCCACTTACTTTCATAACGTCCGCCAAGGAAGTAGCGATATATGGTTATTGTTAATATACAAAACACATAATACCATTAACCATTGCTAGCATTATGAATTCCCTGTGTCATAGAAATTATTTTAATATGATATTCTTCCAGATCAATGTACCTTGCTGAGGTGGTTGGTGGGAGGTTGAGTCCCAGCAGAATGGTGGTGGTCCGGTTTTTAGAATGTGAGGCTACCCTTCAGGGGATCATCGAAAAAGTGCAAGATGCCATTGGAAATCATGACCCCATGGTATTGACTGATGCACAGGGTAATGCAATTTTGGAGTCCGAAGGAACAACAGGTGGGTAACATTAATTTTGTTTTACTTTTAAGTCTTTACTTTGTTTGAAAATTAGATGGCACATGATTACTCATGACTGAACCAACCACTTAAGTTATAATGGTTTTTCCTGGTTTCCACCTCCACTCCAAAGGGTCACACTACTGGAAGCAAAATGCGCGAAAGATTCTTGCTGTACAAGAACGGGACTTCCTGGAGTTGCAGGGCAAAAAAAGGAGGAGACTGAGGTAATCTTCAGCAATCATTACTGTTATTTGTCCAAATGTTGAAATGCATTGTGTTTTTTTTACTTAGACGTATCCTTACCATTGCTGTTCAGACTATTAAAAAAACATTTTTTCAAATCAGCACCTGTTTGCCTACCCTTTGGACATTACTGCTTCTGTATATACAGTGGCTTCTATAATGTTTGGGACAAAGATTTATTTTAAAAAACATATTCCCATAATCAGGGATAGAAATTGAGCTCGCCCCCACCCCCCTTGCTGTTTTGTTGTGTGTGAAACAAGTGTCTTGTTTTGAATGAATGAATTTCATAAGAAGCTTCCCTGACATGGCCAAGCTACATTCATAAATAAAAACCCTTGCTTTTGTTGTCTGTCCCCCCCTTTTTCTAATCTTTCAAACAAAAGGTTAGGCTTCCTCCCTACCACCGCTACCAAAACTGCTAAAATACAACCAGTACATATATATTATGTTTTTTCCTTGTAACAGCCGAAAAGATGAAGAAGCTGCAGGCATTGGAGAGGTCACTGAGAAAGTAGAAGAGCTTGTACTGGCATCACAGAGCCTACCAGATGTCACTGCAGCAATCAGAGAGCTCACCAATGTGGCTACCAGTCAAAGAGTCATACTGAGTCCTTCCCAGCTACAGACCATCAAGCACGGGTTCTGCTGTGTTGTTTGTATGAGTAAGTATGCAATAGATAGTAATTGTCCCACATGTAAAATAATTTTGGATCATTTTATTTGGTGTGTGCCAGAATTTGAGATTTCCAAATACACATACATTTTTACATTCTCTAACCAAGATCAGCTGTGTCTCATCCACAACAATTAATTACATGTACTGATGCAAACCTTTGTGTAACAGCCAATGGTGTAATGATACAATAAAAAAGAAATGTTTAAAAGCATTAAAGTTGTAAACTTGTTTAGTAACAAGAACACTGTCACCCAATACATCAAGAACACTTTAAGGACAGATGGGGATACGCACACACATACACAGAATGACAAGTTTTTCTCATTTTGTTTTTTAGAGTTCATCGAGGAGCCAGTCTTCACACAGTGTTGCCGAAGCATTATTGGCTGCAAAACATGTGTGGAACAGTGGCAGGAGACCTCTGTGCACTGTGCAAAATGTAGAGAGAACACAGCAGGCAACGACATATTTGAAGTTAATGGTCTGTCAGAGGCATTTTCTGTTCTGAGATCCCTTTTTGAAGAGGAGTAAGATTTTGCACTTTTATACTCACAAATAGGCATATTGGGTATGCGTTTGTTTATCAATTCAAAAATTTCGGTTAGAGTTCTTGTACTATTGATGTGAATTTCTTAAAATGTTTGGGCTAGATGATGTCATATTGGTGTGAAGAAGGAAGTTGAAAATGTGACCACTGTTCTTATTGACATCACTGTTTAGTTATATTAACATTTGTCTTTACCAAACACCCATTGCCACCAACTTATAGTTCTTGTTACTCATTTACATTCTGTAAGTTCAAACAGACCAATGGTCTTTCACACATTGCGCTGAGTTGTGGTTATGAGATAGAGCAATGCCTCTTTGTATGGAGCAAAGTCATTGTTCACTGCTCTAGAGAACAAGTCTGAAATGTCTGAATATTTCTCTGCAAACTGATTCTCGACTGTAAGTTTGTCCTGTTCAGTTGAAAATGGATCAACTCCAAAAGCAGAATGTGTTGTCAGTGAGGATCCCAGCTGTTGTCCGTAAAGGTCTGCTGCTTCAGCTGAATGAGGCAACAGCTCCTGTGGGATTTTTTTGGGACACCCACTGCCAGCCAAGTCATTTGGTATACCTTTACCTGTAAAATAAAGAACATACTGTTGGTCTCAAAACTTATGAATGCCCGTTGTAATTATTTTAATCTTCGCAAAACTGGTTTATTTCACCTGGAATTCGGTGAGCATTCCATGAGTCCACCATCCTTGTAAGACCAATCTGGCACAACTGGCCAGTCAGGTTGGACACACAGTATCTCACAAGGTTGTCGTCCATGTCTAGTTCCTCTTGATCCACCAACTGCAGAAGGGCTGTCTTCAGTGGATAATTGACACGATTGTTGACCTCAGGCCAGACTCGTTCGACTATATGGTTCTGAAATTGCACAAAGGTTTGTCATAAGTAAATTCGTTCTGGTGGGTTAATGAATAATATATGTGTTACGGTCCATTAAGGAAAAATGGTCATTATGCAGAATTCCAAGTAAATCTTTAAATTTACCAAGTCAGCAGTCATTATGCATAATTACCAGGAAATCTGCATATTGACCACCTAAATGGGTATTATGCGCATTGACCGCTGAGCTAGTAAATTGAGAGTTTTACCAGGAATTCTGCTTAAGGACCATTTTCCCAAATGGACTGTAACATAAAAAAACATCATGTAACTACAATATAAAGTTTGAATAAACTCCAGTGTGCTTCTACAGTTGTTTAATGTTGAGCTGTAACCAGATTAAAAAAAGAAAGCTGTTCTTGGCCAAGGTTAATGTTATGTTTATTGATATGTTTACCCTAACATTTAGAAAACCTAGCAATAGTAAAGAAAATGTATATAATGTAACCAAGAAAACAGTATGCTGCTGAAGCAAACCCAATAAAAGTAATAATAATAAAAGCCGGCATACAACAAGTACTGTGTTTCTGAAGCAACCACACAAACTATTGAACTGTACCCTTGTGGATGAAGTCTGTAAATAAGGCTTTCTCTCCTGATTATGGCGATGAGATGACAGCTGCTCCTGCATGAAGAGCGTCAAATAAAACTCCTTGCCATGATCTACTCGCACCTGGTCCCACATACCATAGGCAAGTACTGCAGGCCTATTGGATGAAAGAATCATTTTTAATTTGTGCAAAACTTTTCAAACTTAACCGTTCCAAATCAGTTATTCTCAGTATAATATGGTTCATAACAATGTAGATGTCCAGCAATTATCATTTAGTCACATTCTATTAGGAAAGCAGTAGCCATGTGTATACAATATGTACAACTATTTCAAAGGCTTAAGGGATAGTCTGGTATTTATTTGGGAACAATATATGTTGTTATTTCATCAATTGCAGCCTCTCTTTTTTCTCTCATGTCTGAAATGCATAATATAAATTGATAGGTGGTTTCAAGTCAATGAATAGAAATAATGTCTGCAAATGACCATCGCAAAATAAATAATTTTACTGTAAAGCAGCCTTTAAAACCAGAAAGAGACTACACTTATGTCATATCATGGTTATTACGATATCCAAAATCCCAGACCATATCTAGTCTCATATCACGATGTTGATATAATATTGATATATTGGCCAACAAACACTGTCTTGAAGAAATGACAGATTATCCCTTTAGTGTCCACAACAAAACATAGGCTATTACCTGAAAACATCTTCATAGATGGCAAGGTTGTTTTTTATAGGCATTGTAGAATGAGCAACAACCTTTTTGCTGAAGCCATCAATGGCTAAAACATGGGTGACCCCAAACATAGCCAGTTTTTCATTTTGGTCCATATGAACCTTGTGACCCATGTAGTCAGCTTGATATGGTATGGGATTGAGATTGCGGGCACCCTAAAAGAGAGAGGAAAACAATGTAAATATTTAATTGCATACAAAATCCCATTAGTCCTATATACACTACATTGGTTGCAGGTTTTCTAAATGTGACAATGCCTATTTGTATTGTCCCTCTCAAATAAATGAATAAAATAAAAATGATGGCATTTTAATCTTATACGGGCTAAATAACTGCAACTAACCAAACACCCAAAAAAACCACACATTAGCTCATAGTTACACAGAAATTCCACAAGTAACAGACAGTAACATACCTGACGTCTTGCTTCATGGTAAGGCTGATGCATAGTTCTGAGCACTGATCCAATTCGTGTCTCTGCTGCATGCACTCCTTTCATAGCGAGATACCCCTTTATCATCCTTCTTCCATATGTAGGTCCCATCTAGAAAATAACAAATTAACATGATTTCCATATTCCAAAATCATATCAGCTGATATATGTTTATCATGAAATTAATGCAGTGTGCATGCATGTGGGTGTTTGTGTTATGGGATTTGTCAGTGCTGTGAGGTTTATGTTTACTGTGATTACTTACATATAGCCTATGGTAGGCTGAGGCTATTTATTTTTTATTTATTTACTATTTGTTATTTATAATTATGATAAACGGGCATAAAAAAATGCCAGTTGAACTTGCTAAGGGATCCCTTTAGAGATGCGGGACATAGACGTCTATGCATGTTCTCTCTCTCTCTCTCTCTCTCTCTCTCTCTCTCTCTCTCACACACACACACACACACACACACACACACACAAATCTAAGTAGCAAAGGGGAGATATAGCAGGTTCATACCTCGGTTATAGCTTTTGCCACCTCTAACTCCAAATGTGCGTCGGGGAGTCCCATCAAGCTTGACCCATTTTCAGCGCAAAATCTCCTCACATTTCTTGCAGAAAATCCTCTTGTGCCCCCACTTTCCTGTGATATGCGCACCGAGATTTCTGTGGATGACAGGCCTTGTTCCGCCATGTCCAAAATCACATCAGAGTAGGATTCCAAAGCCATTTTAGCCTGGCAACACTGGCACACTGGCAATTTTACATTTGGCGCTGGCGCTCTTGCCTTGTAAATGACGACATCCGGTCTCATAATATGAAAAAACAGGCCTTTTTTCCGTTTCTGTTTTCTAGTGATTTTATTTTTTGTTATATGAAATAGAAATTGAAAATCGAATCGTTTTTTAAATTTCGCTCATCCCTTTTTGACCATGAAAAAGAAAAACGCCTTGTATTTCAATTTTCATTTTTGTATTTTAAAACAAAAATCAAATAACCTCTCGTTTTCTGT